CCCCCCCCGCCCCACCAGTCCCACAGCCGAGCCAACAGGGAGAGTGAGAACTCGAACTTACAGCCTGGAAGGCATTTGGAGTTCTGTTTGAAAAGAAAAAGGTGACATTTGTCTAAAGTAAATCTGTGCTGTTTCCAATTAAATAAACAGGGACATAAATCCAATATGGAAATTTCTTAATATTTTATCCTTTTGTATTCTCTTACAAGAGGCCAAAGAAAACCTCTTAGTGCGGTTCTATGCAATTTATGGACTTAATCATCTGGAAAAAAAGAAAAAAGGGTGAGGGAGGATATGAGGCCCCAAGTTCGAGCCCCGGTTCTGACGACAGTGTGGTCTGCTCAGAACTCACATCACAAATGACCACAGGTGGCCACCCCTGCCCAGGACAGCCAGCCTCAGCTTCCCTCCCAGGCTGCGGGCCCAGCTGGGGGCCGGGGGCTCGGGAGCCAGCGCTGGGCGGCCATACTGGCTTGGCCTCTTGAGTTCAGAGCTCCCTGTACTCCAGTGCCCAGAACGTATGGAACTTTCCAGGCTTTCCACATTCTGAATGACACAGATTCTTCATACACTTCCTGTCATGAAAGCAATCGATTTGTTTTACTGGGCATCGGGTTGAAAAGAAAACCTAATTTTCTTTCAATTACTTCATCAGATGGTGTGACCTCTCTCTCCCTGTCTGTCCGTCTGTCTGATGGCTGTTTCTTTCTGGTAATTCTGAATGAGAAACTAACAGTGGTTCCCTTAACTTCTAATGACAGCCAGGGCTGTCCCCTTTGCTTCTCAGGAAACACATGGGAAATCCTGCAGCACTGAATGTTCTGGAACCTTCTCTCTGGTTTGCCTGTTGTTGGGTTTTAGGAGTAAGGATGATAATGTAAACCTTGACCTGTTGGGATTAGCTTCGTTTAGAGCTGGGAACTGCTTCAGTTCTTTGACAAGTTAAAAGCAGTCATTTCGTCTACTGTGTTCTCAGGGAGGTGTGCAAGACAAATTTTGACTAGAGAGATGGGGTTTTTTTTGTTTGGGTTTTGTGTTTGTCCAGTCTGGGTTTGAACTCAGGACTTCATGCTCTCACTTGATTTTTCAGTCAAGGTTGGTTCTCTATGACTTGAGCCACACCTCCTGTCTGTCTTTCCTGTTCATTGGAGATCAGGACTTTGCCCAGGGTAGCTTCAAACTGTTTTTCCTTATTAGCTAGGACAACCTGACTCACTGGATAGAGGTTTTATGTTTACTTTGTACTCGGCTCTAGTTTTTGGATTCAAAGTGAAGACCGAGAGCTCCAGTGTGGCCTGTGTAGTCTCTTAAAGGAATATCCAGGCTGGCTCAGTCCCCCTGCCCGCAGGTCAGAGCCACCGTGCCCTCTGTGCTCGCTCCTTAGAAAGACTGCTGTCACATTTGTCTCCTTTCTTCAGGAGGGCCTGTCCCCGCCACCCACGGCTCAGTCCTTGTCCCCTAACTGGCCAAAAGCCTGGCCAGCGCGACCCACCTCGTAGGAACACTCAGGTGTGCCAAGCTGGGGGTGGGGGCTGGACATGAGAACGAGGCGGTCATGAGAGAAGCAGAAGGAAAAGCTGGGTCCGAGACCTCTGGGAAGAGCTCTCACTCAGTGTCAGCTCCAGACCGAGTTCCTGGGGGGTCCTGGGCTCGAGTCTGCGTGGAAGGCCGGTGCCTTAGGATGGCTACATGGGGAGTTTCCAGGCAGTTCCGGGAAAGTGGAGAGCAGGCGAAGCATGGGGCTGTGTGAAACTGATGGGGCCACACTGCTTTCTCCTAGGTCCAGTGTTCAATGCCTCCGTGCACTCAGACACACCCTCTGTCACCCGTGGCCAGCCTATCAAGGTCTTCTGCATCCTGACCGTGGAGGGCGCCATGCTGGACCCAGGTACCACACTCCGTCCTCATCTAGTTCTCGAGAGCACTTGGTGTGCTACCCTGTCCCCCCTTCCCCCCTCCCCCGCCCGGCCTGGCCTGGTGAATGGAAGCACAACTGGAAACAAGCCCAGATGTTCCATCAGAGTTATGGGGGGGGGGGGAGTCTCCAGGCATGATCCCAGATGAGTATGAAATCCACTAGCAGGTTCCTACTCCTACTCTGTCATTCATTCATTCACTCATTCACTCAGATATTACTGAGCTCCTGACGTGCCTAAGTCTTGTTAGGTGCTAGGAACAGAGGATTGAGTGGCAGAATCAAAGTGTCTCTAGGACACTGATGGCCAGTTAAGGGCACACACAAAGCAGCCAGGCATCGTGCTTCACGCCTATAATCCTAGCTTCTCAGGAGGCCAAGATCTGATGATCAAGGTTCCAAGCCAGCCTAAACAGAGACAAGTCCATTGGACTCGTTTCCAATTAAAAGCCAGAAGTGGCTCTGAGTGACAGAGCGTGAGGCCCTGAGTTCAAGCTTTAGTACCAGCACACAACAAAATAAAAGTCAGCATAGTGTAAAGCCATTTTTTTTAACCACTCTCCCCTCCCCCCCCCCCACCAGCCATGCTCGTGCATGGTGTCTCCTACAAGAAGTGTGCTTTCTCACAGCCAAGGCCACAGTTGTGTCCTATAAAAATCTTCCCTCCACCCCACCGGTGCCTTCACAGCTGGCCGCGCTACACTCTTGGGCGATGTGTAGCTGCAGACCCTGAATAATTAAACACAGACTGCAAATTGGTTTCTTCAAGCGGCCTATGGGCTAGACGATAGTTCCCATTTGGAAGAGGTTGCATAAGTGACTGGGGTGAGGGGCTGGGCAGTGTCTCTAGCGGCGTACCCCAGATTTGTGGAGGGAGCACTCAGGAGACACCTAGCTCAGGGGAGTGGGGGAGGGGGCAGGCAAGGGCACGGAGTCAGGACAGGTCTGCACCGTGTTGCTGGGATGTAGTAGGGATCCTGATACCACACGTTCATGCATGCAGCTCAGTCTGTGCAGAGGCTGGAGCGGCAGGGACGTGCACGACCACCACCAGGCCAGCCAGAGGATCTTGGCTTTAGTGCTTTAGCTCCTAGCATCTGCGATGACAGGTACAGAGAGCACCTGCTAGTGGAGCACCGCTCGCAGGATCATGTCTGCCCAGTGCGGAGATCACGGGGCACGTGCTGGGTTGTAGGGTGCTGTGCTCAGTAGCTTCAAGAACAGGACGGATGCAGTGACTCGCTGGGGAGCCCTGGTGCTGGCACTCTGCACAGGTGCAGAGTTGGGGAGTAGAATGTGGTCATGGGTGGTGGGGACATGGTTCCTCCTGCATGCTGTATTCAGAAAACACCATCACCTGTGCATGACAGCATGAATCCCCAGCACACCAGGCAGGGCCCGGGACCACTATGCCCTGGTGTGGTGCTGAGGAATCAAACCCAGGGCCTCATGTATACAAGGCAAGCGCTCTATCACTGAGCCACCTTTCCAGCCCCTCATGTGCTTTTTGAAGTTGTTAGTTTACCTTTCCTAAATAAGTCGATGTTATTTTTTGTTCAGCAAAAGGTGCTTTGTACCAAAAGTTGTGCAAATATGTGTGTGTGTGTGTACGCATGCCAGTACTAGGGGCTCAAACTTAGGACCTGGGCGCTGTCCCTGAGCTTTTTCAGTTAGGGCTAGCGCTTTACCACTTGAGTTACAGCTCCACTTCCGGTTTTCTGGTAGTTCATTGGAGATAAGAGTCTCATGGACTTTTCCTGTCTGGGCTGGCTTTGAACTGTGATCCTCAGATCTCAGCCTCCTGAGTAGCTGGGAGGACAGGTGTGAGCCACTGGTGCCTGGGAATGTCAAAAGACTTAGGCCAGAGGTGTGGCTCAGTGGTGGATCATTTGTGCCATGTGTTCAAGGTCCTGGGGTTGGTCTTACCAAAAAAAAAAAAAAGCAAAGCAAAGGCCTGTGGCCCTTGGTCACTGGCGTGGCTGGCACTGTTGACAGAAGCCGAGACCCAGAGCCGGGCTGAGGAGGCCTGCGTACCCTTTACATTCTGGGAGATTGGCTTCTCTGTCACTCTCTGCTCTTCTGCTCACATGAATTTATTTCGGCTGTTAGAACCTTGATTTCTCAGGACTTTATACCCCAGCGGTATACAGCACCTTGGGGCTGTGAGCCATGTCATTTTTGCAGTCTGGCATTTCGTCCCTTATCAGTTCAGTGTCTTTCCAGTCTGGGTCATGTGGCTGTCCTGTCAAGGGACACTATCTGGGGAGAGGGGGTAGGGGGTGAGGAGGGCACAGCGTGCCTTGCAGCTGTCTGCCAGCTCTACCTCTGGGGCTGTCTGAGGGGGGCTCATGGCCCCAAATTCTCTCCCAGGGCTCCCTAGGCTGGGTGGTGGCAGTAGTATGGTTACAAACCTGGACTCCAGGGAGGAGCTTGGACCACATCCTGTGGTTGGAATAAGATTCTGCTAAACAGCTCCCTCCCATGCGGGGGCCATGTGCATTTTCCTCATGGCACTGACCGGGGTTTTTGGCAATCTAGACTCCATGGCCTTCGACGTGGTCTGGTTTGCCGTACACTCCTTTGGTCTGGACGAGGACCCGGTGCTGCTGTCCACGCTGGACCGGAAGGGGATCGTCACCACAGCCCCACGCCACGGGAAGAGTGGCCTGAGCCTGGAGCGTGTGGGTGCGCTGGAGTTCCTGTTACAGGTGCATGACTCCGAGGACCATGACTTCGGCAACTACTTTTGTGCCGTGACACCATGGGTGAAGTCACCGACAGGTTCCTGGCAGAAGGAGGCAGAGATTCACTCCAAGCCTGTCTTTATAACCGTGAAGATGGACGGTAGGTGCCACCCACTGCTGCATACTTGGGCCCAAGGGTAGAGCCTCTCCCGCCCGGCTGCAGCTGCAGCTGATAGCCATCCAGGCTTCCGGTTTGAGGAACGTGCCACGACGGCAGTCTGCTTTCTCTCTGGGCTCAGCCTGGTCCAGAAGGAGCAAAAGCAGCCCTGCTGGTTCCTAGTTTTATTGTCATGTGCCAGAGGCACCATTCAGGAAATGACTTGCAAGACTTGCTGGGAACTGGCCATCACAGCTGTAATCCCAGCTACTCAGGAGGCTGCAGAGCTGCGGACTGCAGTTCAAAGCCAGCCTGGGCAGGAAAGTCCATGAGACTCTTATCTCCAGTTACCTAGTAAAGAGCCAGCAGAGAAGCTGTGGCTCGAGTGACAGAGCACCAGTCTTGGGTGAACAAACTCAGGGACAGCGCACAGGTCCTGAGTTCCGCCCTGGTACAAGCACAAAACAACAACAACCACAAAAAAAAAAAAATCTCACTGGATGCTATGTTGAAAGTAAACTATACAACTTTTGGTGGGATAGGAAAGAAAAACAGAGCAAGGGAAGGGTGACATTGTCCAAAAGGAAATGTGCTCTTTACCTGACTTATGAAACTGCAGTCCCTCTGTATATCACCTTTATAGTATCATTTTTAAAAAAGCAAATAGAGAAAAAAGAATCAATTGGCATAAGTCCACGGAGAGTACGCAAGCCCAGGCGCCTCTGCACATCAGCAGGAGGGTGGGCGTGTTTTCTTAATCATGTGCCTGTGTAAGGAGACAGACGGGAGCCCCGCTTTCATGGGCCACAAGGCCTTTCTGATCCATCTCCGTTGTGCAGTGGGAGTGTCATCTCCCGTGAGACGTGAGATGAGACATCATCCAGTCGAGGAGTGCTGGTGTCTCCAGGGGGTCCACCCAGCATGTGCATTTCCGACACTTGTCATGTGTTACTGTATTCTCATCTTAAATTCTTCCCTTGAAGTTAATTCCATATGAAAACTCGAGCTCTTCCCAAACAAGTAGGGGAGTGATTATTCACTTTGCTCGATAATTTACTACAGTGTTTCCTAAAATAGCTGCTCAGCACACTGGAGTCCTCCCGTGCGCAGGGCTGATTTATGCGTGGTATTTTTAAGGACGCATCTGCTGCTGAACGCACAGTGCCCTTATCCCGACTTTTAAAAATCAATCTCCTGCCAGAACCCTAAAAAAGCAAGTTGACATTCAAAGGCAGCGAGCGAAGCCGTTCTCCTGCCTTCCCCAGTGGAGCAGGGCGGGGGAACACTTGCTCACTTTGTCAAGGGGGAAGAACTGAGGCAGCCAATCTATGCGGTCTGATCCCCAGGGAGAGCCCCCCCGGGGTGGGGAAGGGGCGCGCAGGTCCCTCCCGGCTGCCTGCACAGCACTCACTGCCTCTCTTTGGTCTCCCCCAGTGCTGACCGCCTTCAAGTACCCGCTCCTCATCGGCGTGGGGCTGTCCACCGTGGTCGGCCTCCTGTCCTGCCTCATCGGCTACTGCAGCGCCCACTGGTGTTGCAGGAAGGAAGTGCAGGAGACGCGGCGGGAGCGTCGTCGACTTATGTCCATGGAAATGGATTAGACGCCCAGATGGAGCCTTCCAGAACATTCCAGGGACAGTGGGGTGAGAAGATGGACTAGACGCCCAGCCAGAGCCTTCCAGAATGTTCCAGGACAGTAGGGTGAGGCGATGGACTGAACGCCCAGCTGAGCCATCCAGAATGTTCCAGGGATGGTGGGTGAGGACAGAAACATTTGGAAATGAAATATCACACTAGAACCCAGTCCTCTCTATCTCAGGTGGGAGTTTGCGCTCTCCTTTTGGCATGTCATGAGCGCGGACATGTTTACCTTGACACTGCTCCCTCCCACAGCACTTTCTGCTCTAGAACAATCTCGAGTGTGTGCTCTTTCCTGACTGCGGCTTTTTAATGGTTAAACCTTTGCCTAAATTTTTTTTTTCTCCTCTTACAGATCTCCGAGTGTGTGTGTGTATGTGTGTGTGTTGGTGACTTTGGTGGGCAGGGTTGCAGGGAGGCTCCGGCAGTGGCATGCAGTTCTCCACGGCGGGTGTGAACCGGGCCTGTGTCCATGCTGGTCCTGGGTTAAGGGACTGCTCACCACTCTCCCTCTGCCCTGGCCTTGAGGTGACATGGGCCTGGGCTGAAGGCTCTTGTGGATTTTACAACCCTGCCACACGCCTTGTTTTTTTGGGGGGAGGGTGTGGTTGTCTACATTTGAAATCTAAATTTGGAGCATATAACTCTCCTTGAGCCCAAATGCATTTCACTTTCTTTTTTCTTTTGGGCCTTTCCCAATTGTGTTGGTTTCTGTGGGAATGATGAGATGGTAGCCTTGGGGTCTGGATTTGGACTCCACCGAGCACCTTAGCTCACCACCTTAGCCTTAAGAATGAGAATGAACCAGAACACAGTATCACCTCTGCCCGAGCCAGTTATGAGGGAGGGGCAGGGCCGGAGGGGGAGGGGGAAGCAGGAAGCATGCTGGGAGGCTGCTGGGCCTGGCAGGAGCCCTGGGGCCGGGGCGGGAGTGCTTCTGGACAGGGCTTTCTGTAGCCCAGGCTGGGGGAGGCTGAGGAGGGCCCCCTCTGCTCCTGCCCCATGCGCGGCACTGGAGATGGGGAGACACACAGGGCCTGCAGAGGAGGCTATGCAGCCTCCTCGGCCTCCTGCTCCTTCCTGTGAGAGCCATGGCCGCTCGCATGACCTGGGAAATTCAAAACATGCTTACGGGAGTCAGGAGCCAGCAGCTCACACCTGTCATCCTAGCTACTCAGGAGATCAAGGTTTGAAGCCAGCCTAGGCAGGAAAGTGAGACTTATCTCCAATTAGCAGCAAAAAGCCAGAAGTAGAGATACGCCTTGGGTGAAAAGGCTGTGTCCAGGCCCTAAGTTCAAGACCCAGGACTGGCACACACAAACACTGCCTAGAGGAACTGTGCTCTCTTCTCGTCCTGAGTGTGTGGGCGCAAAGCGGGGTCAGGGGCTGCGCTGCCTGCCCGCCCCCCTGGAAGAGGAAGGTGGGCAGAAAGATCCTCCAGGATCTTCTGTGCCCACAGCGCCCCTCAGAGCCCAGCTCTCCCCTCCCCTCTGGCCCTCTCCCTGCTCTGTACACAGCACTGGCCTTCCATAAGCAGAAGCGTCCTAGTATCTGGGGCTCACTGGGAACGCATGCGCCGTTGACATCCTCTGTCATTAATTCTGGCTCTGAAGGATCTCATAATGCCCTGTCTTCCAAGAGGAAAAAAAAGATTCACTTGTTTTGAGCAATAAAGAAATACAAAAGGGAAAGGATGGCCATTCACATGCAGCCTGTCTCTCCCGGCTCCCCCATTTCCCCTTCTTGCCCTTTCTGAGTCCACTATGGGCACTGCTCCTGAGGCAGAAGCCCTGGCTTCTGTGCCAACGCCGGTGGCTGCAGCTAGCTCCAGGCCTGGAGCTGAGTGAGGAAATGGGGGGCAGGGATGTGGAGGGAGTATGGCACTATTGAGGTGTCATCTGCATGTCATCTCACTGCTATTTCAGCGGAGGTGGGAAAACAAACAGGTACCGCACGCATGTCGGCACAGGGGGCACACTGAACCCTGGCATCGACGCCGAGAAGATTCAGGATGATGGTAACAGGCCTTCAGGGTAGACATAAGAACCCCTGCCACCGGAGGGGCCACTGTCCCCCAGAGACTTAGGTCGCTGAACCCTGGGTGGTGAAAAGTGTGTGTGCTCACCCTCGTACCTTGGCCTTTCACACTGATGTAGTTCAAGGCTGAGTTGTCCTAGGCTCCGACCTTTGACCCTCCTGTGCCCTTTGGGCCAACCCCAAGTCACCTGGGAATTGTGGGAAGGATCAAACATCAGGGTATTGTGCCAAGGTCTTTGTGCAGGATACGTCTTGTGAAGGTGTGAGGTGCCCCCATCTGACTACCAAATAGGGCTCCCACAAAGTGCTCTTCAGGAGAGGCTGGAGGAGGGAAAGCCTCGCACGCAGGAGATTGTGCAGGAACTTTCTAGAAGGCTGACCTTTTCTCAAATACAAACACATCCCCCCAGAAAGAGCCTAAGCTGTTTCATGAAGCTGGAGGTCTCTTCTAATCGTTTACTTCATGATGTTTACATCCGTATTCACTTTGTAAAGAAAGAAAACAAGGAAAACGCAAACTCTGGCTTTTAACAACCTTTCGGATTTCCATGGGACAGTAGAACTCTTCACTCACCAGCTGGATGAAATCCCAATTTAGAAATGTGTTTCTGTGTACGCCCACGCCCCGCCCCCTCTGCCCTCGTCTCGTCCCCAGTGGCTCTGGCCACGATTTTGATATTGACATCTGTTAGCCAAAGACTGAGCCTTTTTTGGCAGGAACAATAAGCAATACTACACAACTTGCTACTTTCAGAAAAGCTGTTTGTTGTTGCTTTTTTTTCTTTTACTTTAGCTTCACTGACGACAACAGAGGAAGAAGCGAGCTGGGACTTGGGCAAACCCTCTGCTGTTGGACCAAATTCTCCGCGTGTGCATCGTGGGGAACAAGGCGGGCTTTTTTTCTTTAGCTGGTCCACAGGAATCTGTGGAGTTTCCACAAAGAAAAGATCTTGTGGATTTTCTTCTCTATATCCAATGTTATATGAACTAATTGTAATTGTTTTATACTGTGACCACAAACATTATGCCAAGCACCATTGGTTTTTTGTTGTTGTTTTTTATTTCATTAAAGGCAGTTGGACTTGAAGTTGTGAGGAACGTGGTGTTGTCTTGGGCCCCTTCTGGCGGGAGGGCTGGGCTCCAGCCGCAGCAGGGTGGCACCTGCGGGCCCTGTGAATCCCAGACAAACACTGCAGATTTTCTTCTCTGACCAAAGAACTGATGGGACTCCCAGCAGGTGGGCGAGGGCAGGCCTCCTGTGTGTGTGGGGGGGGGGGGGGTCTTCCTGGCCTGTTGGTGACCTCAGAGCTTCCCTCTCAGTCAGAAGTCAGAGGATGCGGTTCCTCTCCAGATGAGGAAGCACTTGCTGGTCATGACCGCACTGTGACCAAACAGCGCATGTGCTCTACTCCATAATAGAACCTGGACTAACGCAGACAGCAGGTGCTCCCCCTCAGCCAGCCTCATCCAGCACTCCTGTTGACTTGTGTATACGTGTGTATGTGTGTGTGCACGTACGCATACATGTGTGCTGGTACTAGGGCTTGAACTTGGGACATGGGGACACTGTCCCTTAGCCTTTTTGCTCATGGCTGGCACTCTGCCACTTGGACTACAGCTCCACTTCTAGATTTCACTGACCAATTGAGTCTCACAGACTTTCCTGCCCAGGCTGGCTTTGAACCATGATCCTTGATCTCGAGTAGCTAGGATGACAGGCCTGAGGCACTGGCCCCCTGCAGCTTGACCATGGAACCACCGCATTGCGAATTATTCAAGTTGTACTCACTGCTGAGCGGCTGGCACTGCTCCAGGCATGTAGGAGGTACTTGGACTTTGTTAACATAGTTGAATGACGCACTGTTGAATGACCTGTTATTACCTGCTTCTCAGCGATCTGGAAAACTCACTCACGTCCAAATACTGGTGTGGGTAAAGCTAGTCTTTGTCAATCCCTGGCCTGTTATTAAACATATTCCTCCCTCAACTGAGATTTAAAGCAAAAGCCAAGTGTCCGGTGCCTCACACCTGTAATCCTAGCTACTTAGGAGGCTGAGATCTGAGGATCCAGGTTCAAAGTCAGTACAGGCAGGAAAGTCTGTAACACTCTAACCAGCAGAAAGCTGGTGAAGTGGATATGTGGCTCAAGCGGTAGAGCGCCAAGCCTTGAGTGAAAAAGCCAAGGGACAGCACACAGGTTTTGAGTTCAAACAAAAAAATTAAAAATTAAAAAATAGAACAGGCTGGACCTTACCTTATACCATATATGAAAATTAGAATGGAGTAAGCTCCCAAATGTGAGACTAAAGCTGTAAAATCCTAGACTAAAACAGAGAAAGCTTCAGATAAAATCCTAGACTAAAACAGAGAAAGCTTCAGAACACGGGGTTTGGCTGTGATTCTTGAATATCACACCAAGACCATAAGCAGTAAAAGAAAAAAAGGAGGGGGGGGGGACCTAGACAAATGGGATTTTTATCAAACTGCAAAGTACAGCATGTGAAGTCGGCAGAGGGAAAGGGCAGGAGACGGCAGGCAAGAGCATTTACAAACCATGTATCTGATAAACAGTTAATATTCAGACTGTAAAGGGAATTTCATTGTAAATCAGAAGGCAACCCCATTAAAACATGGGCAAGGGTCTTGAAAACACACCCAAAGAATATGTACTTATGATTACTGAGCATATGAGAAGAATTGTTCATCCTAAGAGAAATGCATATCAAAACCACAGTGAGATATCTCCAGATGAGTCTTAGCATGGCCACCATCAAAAGACCAGGATGCTGGTAGCCCAGCTCCTCCAGAAACTGAGATCAGGGGGGGGCTGTAGTTCCAGACCAATCAGGGCAAAAAAGCTCCTGAGATTGCATCTCGAAGAAAAAGCTGGGCATGGTGGCATGCACCTGCCATCCCAGCTACCACAGGAAGCATAAATAGGATGCCTGCAGTCCAGTTCACCCCAGCCAAGAAGAGACCTTATCTCAAAATAACTACCACAAAAAGGGGCCAGAGGTATGGCTCAAATGGTAGACTACCTGCCCTGCAAGCACGAAGCCAAGTTCAAACCCCAGTACAGTACCACTGCCCCAAAAAAGAGACAAGAAAATGATAGGTGTTATTCCTGCGTATGAATGCACTGCTGAGCACAATGTGAAATGGTGCAGCTGCTATGAAAAACAGTATGGAGGGTCTCTGAGAAATTAAAGACAGTGAATCTCTTTGGTGCAATAAAAACCTGGATGATGGGCAAGTAAATCAAGCTGGGATGTGAGAGTGAGCACCAGGCAAGGGTGGGGGTGGGGGCTGGCGGGGAGGTCTAATGACAAGGGTGGATGAGGATGATTATGGTGGATGTAGCTGATTGGCCTGTGTGAACAATAAAACCTGCTGAAACTGCTCTGAGGAGTGGGATGGAGTGAGCTTGTTTACACGTGTGGAAACATCACACAACGAAACTCAGCTACAACTAACGTATGTTAATTTTTAAAAGTTAATTAAAAACAGAACTACCAGATGATTCGGCAGCCCCACTTCTGAGGAGATATCCAAAAGAAATTAAAGCAGTATGTCAGAGACACATGAACCCCCATGACCAGGGTATATTCAGAATAGCCAAGAGGTGGAAGTCACTCCAGTTTCCCTCAGCACACAAAAGAGTAAAGGAAACATTCCTGTGCACAATAGAATACGAAGCCATCGTTAGTAAAATGAAAATCCTGATTTATGCCACAACCTGAAGGAAACTCTGACACTGCGCTAAGTGATTAAGTCAGCCACCATGACAGATACTGTATTTTTCTTCTCATACAGTAGTCAACACAGCAACAGAAGGAAGAAGAGTGATCACCCAGAGCCGGGGGTGGGAGGGGTTCCTGTTTATTCAGCCAGATTCAGGATTGCAGGAAGATTCCCGAGTGCTGTTGCATAACGTGAACACGCTTATTAAACAGTGCAGTTAAAATGGCCAAGATGGGAAATTACTATTACGTGGGCTT